GTTGCGGCTGACGGCGGAAGCAAAAATCCATAATTTCTTTTTGTTTCCTCCGAAACTGTAACCCTAATCTTATTTTTTGCAGGAAAGTTTTGATTTCGGTGGTTTCCGTCATTCCGAAATGATTTTTGGTGGGAGCAAACAATTTCTGGTGAGTAATCTTTTTTCGTAATGGTTGAGTTCAAAAGAGTATATGGTAGACTTTTTTTAGATTTTTTCGTAATGGTTGAGTTCAAAATATTATGTTAGGTGGATTTCTTATCCGTGAGTAATCTCTTATCTTCATGGTTAAGTTTGAAAATGTGTATGGTAGACTTTTTATGGAGTTATTGTAAAAATGGTAGATTTAATTTGTTAAATGGTAGATTTGTTTGGGATCATGGTAGATTTGTTTGGAAAATATTAGGTTAGGTAGATTTGTTTATGTTTGTTGGTTTGGTTTAAATGATCGTACTAGTCATGGTACGTTTTCTAGACTACCTTTCGTTTTTGGTAGATTTGTTATTGAATGTGGTCGATTTCTTTATGTTTTTGGTAGATTTGTATTTAGTTTTATGGTAGGTTTTTAAGATTTGCTTTCGTGTTTGGTAGATTTGGTTATGTCTTTGGTAGATTTGTAAGATTTGTATAAATTGGGTATATTTTTTTTTGGACGAGGCGGCTTTGCTATAATATAACCATTTTTGAGATATGACTTCTGCTAGAGGCGCGAAGGATTATCCCCAACAATTGTACCCGGAAAGTAGATCTCCTATGAGGAAGAAGAGTGCTCATCATAACTGCAAGGTTCATAAATTCATCAATATTAGGGAGCAGCTGTTTGAGTCTGAGTGAGTGTGTGGTGTTGGTCGAGTAAAATGCTGATGTTTCCTCTTTGAATGGTGGTCTCGCGGCTGTCGACGGCAGCCACAAACCCTAATTTTTTTTTTTTCATCTATGGTAGACTTATTGTATTTATGGTAGACTTATTGTATCATCTACTCCGTTAGTTCTTATTTTTTTCCCATTTGATTTGTGTTGATTTCGATTTTTTTATGGACACATACAATACCGATCAGCTATAGCGACAGTTCTTCGGAAGGACCGCAAATTGTCATAATTTTTGTTAACAGACCCTTTTGTTAATTAGTGTGATAGGTTTAGAATGAAATTCATTAAACTGGCATGATGTATGTAGGAAAGTCGAGAACATATCTGAAAATGGTAGGATAAGGCTATTACAGAGGAATTGGAACGGGTGAAGACAGACTTGAGGTGCATAACAAGAACTTACAAAGGCTTGACAGACTTCAATATGTTGCCATATCGTATATGATAAGTATAAGTCATTTTCCCTATGTTTAAGTAGAAGTAATGTTCCCAATGTTTAAGTAGAACTAATGTTCTTTTAAGTACTAAGAAATGTTGGCATCTCCCTTTTCAATGTTGTTATCTCCCTTTTTAATGTTCCTTAAATACTTTATGTACCTTTTTTATGGAAGTTTATGTTCCTTAAGATGATTCCCAATTTTTATGTTTACTTAAAGTAGAATTAGTGTTCCTTTAGTCAATTATCTCCTTCTCATGCAAAACTGTGATATATGTACCATTTTCAGTGTGATCTGTGTCCCAATAAACAACTCTGATCGTATCAGAGTTTACCCTCATAATCTCATCAAACTTATGAAAAGAAAACGTCAATGGTAATAAACCCAACTCAAAACTAACCATGGAACAAGTCTACCATACGTACAGAACTAGTCTAACGTACGACACCCTAAAAAAGTTTACCACACATCTAGTTTTTTCGTAGATTGCAGAATACATTTAGGACAAATAATTAATTTCAATCGAAAAAGTCAAATGTCTACCAAAAAAGTCTAACTAAGTCTACCGTAAGCATTGTAAATAACTCTACCATAGAAATAAGTCTACCATCAAGCACCGCATAAGTCTACCAGATTGAGGTTATCTGAGCAAATACCAAAATTATTTAATCTACCACATGATGCTCAATAGAAGTCTACCATATGTGCAATAACTCTACCAATTGATTTAAAATCTACCAAACCAACGAATAAATCTACCAACTTTTTATAAGTCTACCTCATGTAATAGTTAATCTACCACTTAACAGAATGTAATCACCAAATTTTTACTTGAATTTAAATCTACCATATTACATAAAAATCTGCCACAAAAATGAAAAATCTACCAACTAGATATAACTCTACCAATTTCATAAATAATCTACCACAAAAGGAATAAATCTACCGTCACGTTATGAAAAATTTTGTTACATATATCTACCACCAAAGGAAATAAGTCTACCAACTCAGGAATTAAATCTACCACATTGTCAATAAATCTATCGACAAAGTCAACTATGCGAGTAAGTCAACAATTTCCATAACAAGTCTACCAACACATTTGACAAGTGTGCCATACATAACAACAAATCTACCAAAACTTAATAAATCTACCACTCATTGTCAAAAGTCTACCAAGAAAAGTCTACCAATTTTTAACAAATCTACCAACACTCAAATAAATCTACCATCTTCCTAATAACTCTACCATCCAAATTTTTGCGTTGACCAAAATTTGTTAAGTCTACCGCCAAAGCCTGGTAGACTTATCATTTTTTCAACGCTATTTTTTGCCTATGTAGCATTAAAAAAATAATGGCATTTTCGTAATTAAGTTTTTTCAACAAAGACGAAAATGATATTTTGGGTATGCTAGGTTAGTTTGTAAAAAAAATAAAAGTACGTCAAACAAGTAATAAAGATACTTTCTAAGGTTAGTATAGCAATCCTTCCTTATTTTTTTCTATCGATAATTTTTTATTTGCTGGTGTTGACATATCCGAGTCTCAAAATAGAATTACAGAGTAATGCACACACCATTATATACACCTTAATTTTTTTTTTAGTTATTAGTTTTTGTTTGATTTGGTTTTCTGAAGCGATCAACAACTTTCTGAATATTTGTTTGGTATTGCCGAACTAATCTTTTTTTTATATATATTATTTTTCTAAACTGACTTATACCAGATAATGCTAAAATTTATGAATATATAATTCCATACCGAATAAACCAAAAGGAACTAAATATACGTAATCGAAATTATAAAATTTTGACCGAATTTCACCATATATATAAAAAAACTAAGTCTGTTAGTTTCATTTAAATTTAAAATACAGTCTTTGGAACTTTTCGATAACCAAACTGAGCTAAACCATAATTTTTTGGTTCATTTCGGTTAACTGAATTCCAAGCCTTTTTTTTTATAATTTGAGTACCCGCACGAGTAGTGATGTGGCAATACCCGCGCAACAGCTGGGGGAAAGAGAAACCTGAAAAAACGCAAGTGTAAGTGTAATACAAAGTAGGATATCAGAACCTCGATTAGCAAGTGCTTCTTTCACTCCAGCAATTTCACTCTGAATGTACCCTATGAACTCCTTGATCTCGCTAATGGTCTTCTCGGTTGCAGCAAGGCGATCCTCCAATGCATACAGCCGCTTCTCATATGATTGCAGAAGGGCTGTTCGGTTGTCACGGAACATGCTTTCGCTCTGCTTGTCAACTCGTATTTGAAGAATGGTCAGCTGCTCTTCAATGGCTTCATCCCACCATTTGGAGATGTGACCCGGTTTATCCTACACATATGACAAATGAAAACTTAAGTTATACTCGATGAATAACATTAAAACTATACACATATTGAGAAAAACCTCATCTTACCTCGCCTAATATTTCAGGGCAACTATAGAACTTCCTGCCAAACGTCTCTGGAGCTGTAGACTCTTCCAATCTACATCGAAGGCCGCAATAGCATCGTTCAAGTATCCCAAAGTCTCCATCAGCTTTGGCACCCCCGCTGTCATAGCTTGCTTTGGAAGATGAGCTGTTTGTGTAGCTTATCGGCATTACTCTGTAGAGATCAAGCAAACAAACTTGTCAGTTAACAAACAAAAAACAAAAACAGATACGACCACAATAGAAGATCAAAAGCACCGATCAAATGCACATATCATAATCAAACACTTATATATATCGATCAAATGCACCGATCAAATGCACATTATCAATACATAGACATGGAATGAAAAACTAAAGTTCGCAGATAACATGAGTTCGCAGATATTTTTCCGATCAAGAGCACCGATCAAATGCACATATCAATACATAGACATTGATCAAAAGCACTTATGTATCTTTTCATTCATAATCAAACACTAATATATATCGATCAAAAGCACCGATCAAATGCACATATCAATACATAGACATCGAATGAAAAACTAAAATATCCCAACCAAAAACAATGAAGGACTCAACAGAGAACAGCACAAACGTTTAATTTCTTCATCAAATACAATAACATTTCAACATTCACGAAAAGCCCCAAATTTTCAAAATTAGGGTTTCACTTAAAATCAACAAACAAATCATTTCGCGTTCACATACAACATAATCTACTCTAACTAATCCGAATTTAAGAATAAAACTTCTAAATTTCACCACAAACAAAAAGCCCCAATTTTCGAAATTAGGGTTTACTCAAAAATCACCGATTAACCGTCGAAAATGAAATTGATCCACTAACATTAAAGGAAATGAACATCTAACCCTAATACAAACAACCCTACACAATCGTATTCATGGATAAAAATCCATCTGAGATTACACGAAAACAACAAGACGAAACAGCGGGTAACGAGGTCGTCGATTACGGAGATCCTGCGGAGTCAAATCGAGATCCCTCTGCAAATCGATTGAAGATTCGAAGGATGAAATCGTTTTCGTCGGTAGAGAGGAGAAAAAAATGAGAGAGGAAAACACGGGAAAATGAAAATAAAACCCTAGTGTTTTTTTTCTTCTCAATTTCATTAGTCAACCAGCGATTGCCACGTGGCGCTAGAAACGTATTCAGATTTCGCCAAATAAGAAATGGCTAAGCCAAATTAGAGATGCGGTCTAAATTATTTATTATTTGATCTCTGTTAAAAACGGGTCGCGTCTCTAATGATGCCCTTTAGCAATTGATCGTCGCCTTCACATGATCTTCACGGGGTCGTGACTCAATTCCCGAGAGAGGAAGAAGATTTTTTTTATTTTTTTTTTTCTAATTTGTCTCTTGCAAATTCCCAGTAGCCAAAAATCTTTTGGATCTGTTCTCGACGGAGGCGGCGGCGGTGATTAATCTTTATATATATGTCAACTGAGGAGGCGGCGGCGGCGGAAATTTCTAGGGATACGGCGATTTCGATGGCTGTTTCGACGTCGTTTCCTGGTTTCAAATTCTCTCCGACGGACATCGAGCTGATTTCTTATTACTTGAGACGGAAGATGGATGACTTGGAGAGGTCCGTCGAGATTATACCTGAGGTCGACATTTACAACTTCGAGCCCTGGGATTTACCTGGTTCGTTTCCCCAACTTTCGAACCCTCTTCTTCGTTTTTTTCTAAGATTCTCCTCAGTTTCGTTACTTTGAAATTGGGTTTCAACAAAAAGCTTAGAGCTTTACTCTATTATAGCCTTATTTTTCCGGGAATTGCGAAGCTATCTTTGATTACCCACGTGAAACTCCATTGAATCTCGCGATTTTGTTTTTGAGTAATTTTTGTCTTTCCATTAGTACTGTTTTCTAGGGGATTTGGTTTTATAGAATTGTATCAGTTTCCTGGAAATTGAAGCTTACTTCATGAATTTCGTTGAATCTCATGTGGCTAATTTTTATGTAATCAGTATAGAGAAGAAGTTAGGGCACTGAGGATGTTAAACTTCAAGGATATAAAACTTCTTTTGTCCCTCTGAATTTTGTTGAAACATAAACCAAATTAGCAAAAACTTTGGATTGGTATGAATATGTGATTACTTGGCTTGTGTTGGTAGCTTTTGAATGTATCAAAGTATGAGAAATGCCTTTTTGTGTTTCAATTGCTTGGTGTATTGAGAAGAAGTAAGGGCACTGAGGATTTTAAACTTCAAGGATATAAAATTTCTGTCTCCTTGTCGACACATAAACCAAAGTAGCAAAACTTTGGATTGGTATGAAGATGTCATTACTTAGCTTGCGTTGGTAGCTTGTCTATTGCAATTAGTTTAAATGCATCAAAGTATAAGAAATGCATTTGTGTCTCAATGTTTGCTTGGTGTACAATTGGAAAAGCTAAAATCTTTTGATGCCTGTCCCTGATTTGCTCCTACTTTGTAGTTATACATACGTTTTGTGGGTTGAACTTGAACCGCTACAAAACCGCTCTTTCAGTTGTAAGTATTCGTATGGAATGTACATTTATATTTGCATAAACTAGTTCAGGACTATGACAATCGAGGTGTGCTGTTGGCTTTTGCTCAACGAAATCTTGTTGTTCATTGTCTGAGAAAAGTTTATGTTTCTCCGTTTTCTTTCTTTCTCTTCTTGAAAAGAATTAACAAGTTCTTGTGAATGTTTTTTTGGCAGACAAGTCCATAGTGAAATCTGACAGCGAGTGGTTCTTCTTCTGTGCTCGTGGTAAGAAGTATCCCCACGGTTCACAGAACAGAAGAGCAACCAAGATGGGATACTGGAAAGCCACAGGGAAAGAACGTAATGTGAAATCCGGTTCTGATATCATTGGAACAAAGAGAACGCTTGTCTTCCACATTGGTCGTGCGCCAAAAGGGGAAAGGACCGAATGGATTATGCATGAGTACTGCATGATTGGATTATCACTGGTAAACTATTTTCTCATTCTTGAAGTTTTCTTCTTCACCACAAGGTTTGGAAAACTACTAACTGGAGAATAGTATATTGTTTAGAGGTAATCTTGGTTACTTGGAGATATTTGGGTTTTCTTATGTAAGAAAACTTGAATACTTTGCTTTGTAGTAAAAGTAGCTTCAGTACGGTTTTCAAAGGAGTCTCTAGGCTGTTTAGCTGAGGAATGTATTTACATGGTAGGCTTTCTGTCTTGGCTTTCGTTTATTGAATATCTCGAGTATTATATAGGATGCTCTGGTTATTTGCCGGCTTAGGAAGAATACCGAACATCGAGGGGCTACAATTCAGAGTTTACCACATCCAAATTTATCAACTGACAAGCACGCGAACTTGCAGAATGAAACTATTTCTGGTTGGGAAAATATGGTTGATTTCTACTTATCGAATGAATCAGGGCATGAACTACTCAGTGAAATAGCAGAATCTTCACAATCTTCACAAAATCCACAGGTTGATACTCTTTCATTTAGTTCTCTGTAAACAGAAGCAATGACATGCTATTGCTGGTTGACATGGTCCTTTCACCAAATAGATGATATCTATGTACAAGCTTCATGTCCAAAACTTGCTGCTTAATGTCTAATTCATGATCTGATTCCCATGAGTTTTCGATGTTTCCAGGTTCCTAGTGAAGAAGATTTCTACGCAGATATTTTGAGGGATGACATAGTGAAGCTAGATGATCCGACAGTCTCCGGTAATACACTGATCGATGTCCCGAGGCTTCAAACAGAGTCCACAAGCACAAGAGTAATGCCTTTACCGAGCATGGTAGACAAACAAATGCAATCACTGCTACAGAAACTGCCATTGCAGAATGACATTGGTGAAGAAAACAACATATCAATGTCGAGTTGCTTTATCGGTATCTATTCGATTAAGTCGATAAACCGAGCACGGTGGGACGTTGTTGCTTGGGTGCTTGTTATGATAGCTGTGTTGGTGTTTTATCTAGTTTGAGAGCAAAGAAGACATCTTCTAGGCATTTTGCTTGGTTTTGTCTTGATGTTGAAAGAAGATGATGATGTATGTTGTTAGGCTTAGTTTACATTATCCTTCTCTCCATTATATGTATAATATATGTTCGCATTGTAGCATCTGTGTGTGACAAGTAGATATGTCGAGAGAGAGAATATTCTGTTTCAGGTAGAATTTTCAATCTTTTATAAATTCAAGATTTGGGTTTTTCAACTCGGGAAGAGAGGTGAAATCTTGCTTTTTGTTTTTGGTTTGAAATATTATTTACATTATTAGAAACTATGGAAACAATTACATAGAGAATTGAAAATTCTATATATCTACAATATCTACGACATACGGTTATACATGTACTAAGCTCTGACATACAATTTTTTTTTACTTTGGCTTTGGTAACTTTGCGGAATGGCGGAATTGTGGAAAAAATCTTATGGAATAGATTAAGCGATTTATAAGTCGCTTTTCTGCGGAATGACTTTTCATTTGTATTTTTGTTAAGCAAAAATGCAGTCTGCGTTTTTGTGTGTATTTTTTCATTACGCGGATTTTTGTTGATTGGCAAAAAACCTGCGGAATTGTGTTTAAAAACACAATTCCGCCATTCCGCAGGTTACCAATCAGAGCCTTTGTATGAATGTCCTCCATTAGTCTGGTACTAAATTGTATTTTCTTAGAATCAAACTTCCTACTTTTTGTTTCGATATCCTAACCGTGTTTTAGGTATCCAAAAGAAAAAAACTTTTATATCTTTTGGTGTAGAAATTAATGAACATTTTGTTTGCAACTGGACTGAAGTTTCTACCTAATAATACTCCATATCATTATATGTTGGTTGGCTTAATTAGAAGCATGAAGACTAAGAAAATTACTTTTCATCAAAAATACAATTAGTCACACTTAAATATAAAGATTGTTTAGAAATGTAAGAAGATCTTATTTTTTGAAAAAAAAAACTAATATTATGAAATATTGGGACTATTTTTTAAAATTAATTGGCTTGTTTTCTATTTTTGGATTTATTTCTTTGGCCCGGTTTTATATAGGAGTCGAGAGAACTGAGGGGTGTTTGGATGACATTTCCAAAATGAAAGCTAAAATTACTAACAAGAACAAGAGATGTGGTCGTTTTTTGCAGAAAAAAAGAAATTGTGGGGTTACCTCAAAACATTAATCCTTCATTTACAAAGAAAAGAATTTTGCATTCATCATCTTCATCAGATTAAACCTCAGCTTTGCATCATCTCCTTTGATCGCTCTACTAAACACTCATCTAGGACTTGTATGGTGTTTACAGTTCCGCCTTCAAATATATCTGATCTCGAATCGATTTTGAGAAAATCTCGATAAATTTCTGCATTTACGACCCCGACGAAAAACCCTAGAGAGGTCGATCATGAAGTTTGGCTATTCGTCTGGTCAAATTCGATCTGTAAGTTCGTGATCATCTAATTCGCCTTGTTGGGTCTTCGCTAGAGGAAAGGGTTAGAAGTTAAAAATGGAAATTTTGCTTTTTTAGAGGTCGATGCGTCGTTGTCTCTTCTTTGCCCTATCTGGGTAGCTCTTAATATGCTATTTACTTGACTCTATTAGTTGCAGATTTAGCTAAAGAGATTGCTTTATTTTAAAATTTGCTTTGCAGTTTTGATTCTGGGTCTCTGGTGTATAGGATTATGAATTGGGCTAATTCTTCTTGATGTTTTTGGGAACAGGTGATTTAAACAATTTGAAAAGTAGCAATGTCGAAGCCGATCCTGCTCGTTTTTCTACTGATTATACTTATAGTCACCTCTCAGTTTGAATGGAGACAACCACTTGTTGAGCTTGATGCAGCAACCAGCTTGTCACAGAAACAGCAGCAAATCTCAGATAGGGAGGAAGCTGTGAAAGAGAAGGTACTGATTCGAAGCTCTTTCATTCATTTCTCTGTGTGTTTTCCTTTAGAAGACGATCTTTTTAGCTGTATGCAAAATAAATTAGTTTTGGGATAGGTGAGACCTTATGGCCTGGATTTAAATCATCAGAATAGGTGTTCATGTGTAGAGTGTAGTGGTTACATATATATGTCCTGATGATTAAGCTGCATCCTTATATGTCCTTTTCTTGGCGTCTTACTTCTTTAATTCTTATTTTTGCATCAGGTAAACTCAGTTTTTGATTATTGCTTTGACATTTTAAGAAAATGTCTTAATTAGCATGGTATGTATTGTTTTTTAATCGGAAACGTTTTGGATTTCCTGTCTTATTCTGTTCGTCTCTGCGGTTGTGTCTGGAATTCTCCGGTAAATATTCTTAGAATTATGTTCTATTGTTTTCTTGGCTCGCTTAATGGGGTTTCTCTTATGCATAAAGTAGTTGATAGATGTATAAATCTATAAGAGAGCACTCATGAGGATCCAATGGAATTTTCATTGAGCAGTAACACATGAATAAGTCCTGACCTCGATGTATTTATTCTCTACCAATTTCTCTCGTAGTTATCTACGCCTTCCCTTGCTTCTCCATCTTGTGGCTATCATTTATATCTGTGGATCATTGAATGAGTAGCAATGTTAGGATCACACGTTGAATTTAAACTGCGATGAGACATATGTAGGTGCCAAATCCAAGAGTTTGAAAGGTTAATGTTGAACGATTAGTAGTGTAGCTTTTAAGACTCAATTTGATATGGTTCCATGTTGATTTCAGATAAATCTTTACTTCATCTCCTGGTGGGTTGGTTCTCACTGTAATCTACAAAATCTTGATGTTCTAGAAGAGCCAGAAGTCTGGCCCTTTTTCGTGTTTCTGACTCAGGCTGGTCTTCTATATCGTGTCCGTTCTCAATAGAACGTCAAATTTTAACTGCAATATTAACCGTGTTTGTACAGATCATCATGTCCCAAGAGAGACATATCCAGAGGCTAAATGAGCTTGTCAGGAGTCTTCAGTTGCAGTTGCTGCGATGCAAGGGAGAGAATGAGACCCAAAATGCCACCAAAAGCTACCATATGAACAAAAAATACATCAAGGAGGTGGAGAGGAAACAAATACTGGAAGGATAATCTCTCCCCTACAAAAGCTGAAATGATACGTAAAAATTGTGAAAGAAAAGACCACTCTTTGATATTGTGTTTAGGTGTTGTATTGTATCTGTGTATTTTTGTGTTTAACGATGCATCACACCTAAAATTAAAAATCTGTTTGATGTTGAGAAGAGTTGCCAGATACATAAGACTATGGAAGGTTAAGAAATTTTACTGCGTATAAAGATATTCATGTACGACCAGAAGACATGTTAATGTAAGACCAGCAGACATGTTCGTGTAAGAAGGAGCCGTCGTCACTTTATTATCCAAGAAACCGAAGACATCCTCTTTCACTTCATTAAACGGCACCGTACTCCAGCACAACCGTCTTCCTCAACTTCTCCAATGCTAATTTCATTTCCTGTAACTGAACCATGTTCATCTCTTCCACTGGACTCTCCAGCACAACCGTCTTCATCGCATTCTCTCTTCTCATTTCTTCCATTAGCTTGACCCTTTTTTTCTTCTCTTTCTCTACCTCGCTCAAGATTCTTATTCATCTAGCAGCTCGCCGCAGGGTTTCTTTGCTGCGTCTGAACTAAGGACATATTGTTTCAGGACATGTAACGGTCCAATACGGATTCAACGCTCGGATGGACGAAAGAGAAAGACCTTTTAGAGGGAGGAAACAAGATGATCGACATCTCTCCACCGCATGGAGAACGTGAAAAGCTCACTAGCTTTCTTGAAAAGACCGGCTCTACGTTTTGAGAACGTGACTTGCCGGTGGCTCATTTTCGTAATCTTAAACATCGGGATTATATATCTGTCGTCTGATGCGTTCTTTCTTCTTCGACATCATAGTAGTTACGGAGGATTTTTAGTTCCTTTTCTTTGTAGGACAATTTGGCGGAGAGATTGTTTTTTCTGTTTTGTGTATATATATACATGCTTGAGTGTGGTGTGGCTTTCTTATAAGAGGTCGACTTGTATAGTTGGCCATTTCTTTTCATTTTTGTAACATAAACTTTGTAATTACTCAATTTGATCTTCATGTTGTGGATTAATGATAAAAGATTTGCGTAATTTATAAAATCTTAATTTGGTACTGCAATGATTTTTTTTTTCTTTTTCTTTGTATCATTGGTCTTGTCTATATATGCACGATTTTCTTAATCGCTGATTCTTTTTGTCACACAATTGGGTACAAATCGAAACGTCGTTAATGTAGGCTGCAAATCAAAGTACGTACTGACTAATATTATTAGTACATTTTCTTATCTTCTTTCTGATGTACATATGTACATATGCAATTTTAATGTAACGCAAATATTTGAATGCTAGAAAGTATGACAACATTAGTTTGTCTAATTAGAAGTTTAGAACTAATAATAAAATTAGAGTCGATAGATCTATCATTCAATACAAAATCATATGGTATCATTTTTAGTCACTTTTTTGCTCTTTTACTGTCATGCATATAAAAAAATAGCTCTATGTCCTTGCCTGTATGGGAAGAAATCAGGTATTTTTTTTTTGTTTTTGATAATCTGAAATCAGGTATTTTCTGTGCCGAGCTAGCTCCCTGAGAAGTGAGAACACCAACAACATCTATCTATATGTCTTAATAAATGCCTTGTTTCTCCTGCACAACAACAGACTCTTTTGGCATCAAGCGTCTATGCATTTAGCAATGATTAATATACTCACGTAGCAATTGAAAGGATTAGATATATTACAAATGAATTTATTTGGGTAAAGGTCACATAATCAATATATAAATTAAACAAACTCAACATATTTCATGATTAGAGGTATATATAGAATTTTTAATTAAAAAAGATTAGTCTACCAAACTCCTAAGAAAAAAGAATGTAGATTCAGGGTATAACAATGACAACTACTCTAAAATAGCACGAAATTAGTTTCTGTTCCAAACCTAGCACACCAAATTTAAAATTCAAAAATATCACAAACAGTTATGTGGAAATATTTATTAATTCTAAATAAATTAAAATATATTAAAACATTATGTTTAAGTTCCCTCTTTACTATTTAGATTTTAATAATTTTTCCCGTTAAAATATAGGTTTTGGAGCATTTTAATATTGAATTTAGACGATAATAAAGCAGTGATACTAAATTTGGGACATCAACTTAAAAATATTTTTCTTGCCAAAAAAGTAAATACCATAAAACTATCTGTTGTTACAGTTCATTTAAGATGCGTGTATGTATATAGATCGATAGGTTGATTTATGTTTTCCAGCTTATAACAAGCATCTTTCTCAACAAATTATACGCGCCAAAATCCGAACAGCTTATCAAAAGTAAATACTTATCAAAGACCAAAACAAACCAAACGAATTTACACTTCTATTTATGGAAGCTGTATCCAAATATTCAAACGTTATTTCTAATTCTTTTTTTTTCCTAACAAAAAAAACCCCCGCGTTTTTTTTCCTTGATAGACCAAATTCTATCATTCGGTTGTTTCTTAGTCCACATTCATGAACGCAACGACCTACATCGAGGAATTATGTCAACCCTTGTTGTTCAATATCTCTTCCAAAGGATTATGGGAGAATCTAAAATCTCCCGGTGTGATTTTTGGGTATTCATTGCCTCTTTTGGAGATTCAGATATTACTCATCTTCGTATCCTTCGCAATGTCTCACATGATCCTCAGATTCATTGGCATTTCACCAACTGCTTCCTATTTAATGGTAAGTTCCTTTCCCCGATCATGGTTCGGATTTTTCCACTACGATTAAAATCATAGTTGAAAGTGGAGATTATGGTACCTCAACTATGTAACTTGATTCTTCACATTAAAACAAAATAAAAAAGTAACTTGACAAGCACGTAATATGTTCAATCTTCTTTTCATATATGTAGGCTGGTCTGATTATGGGACCTCAACTGTTTGATCTTAGAGAGAAGTCATCAAGGATTCTATCATGGGATCCCGAACTCGACGGCAACGGGCCATTAAAAGGCATATCTACGTTTGCAGCGATTCTATTTACATTCTTGTTGACCCTAAAAACCAATAGACGAGTGGTGTTCAGCAGCGGAAAGTTGCCCATCGTGATCGGGATCTCGACTTTCTTTGTTCCTCTACTTGTTGGTTTATATTTCCGGATTTTCGCCATCGGATACATTAACCCTCACTACATGCCTCGAAAGAGGGCCCTCGTGGAGCGTACTGTAATCATCGGATCCCAATCTTGCATACTCTTGCCCACCACAACCTATATCTTGTTGGAACTCAAGATCCTCAACTCCGAATTCGGACGTCTTGTCTTGTCTGCATCAATCATCAATGACCTCCTTGCCATTGCCCTCTTCGTGACTATTTACACGCTAGGAACATATAGAAACATCTCAACCACAACAGCTTACTCTGACGTTATCGGGATGATCATCTTTATTCTCGTCGTCATTTTTCTTATTAAGCCGGCTATAGAATGGATAGTGGAAAACACACCAGAAGGTAAACCTGTGGCGGATATATATGTAGATGCTGTAATTGTAACTGTGTTAGCCTCCGTGGTTTACTCAACTTTCTTCAACATGAAACACGTCATGGGGCCATTCTTGATCGGCCTTGTCATACCGGAAGGTCCACCTTTAGGATCCGCCTTAGAAGCCAAGTATGAGAAGCTCACGATGAACGTGTTTTCACCGCTCTCCATCGCGTTCAGCGCGATGCGATGTGATATTATGAAAATCATCTACCAGTTAGATGATCTCATATACAACATGTTCCTAATGGCTCTAACGCTCGTTTTGAAGCTTGTTGCGGGTCTTGTACCTTGCTTGTACTGCAGGTTACCTCTCAGGGAATCTATAGCGGTTTCAATTCTCTTGAGCTGCAAGAGTTTCGCCGAAATATTTCTCTTCGAAACAGCATTAGATGATGGGGTAATTTATCCCCCTAGGTCATAAAGTAACGTTTAATTTATAATCCATTGCACAATGATTTATACGTATTTAACCTTTTTTTTGTTTGGTTTTACAGTATATGTCGCATGCAATGTACTCGTTCTTGATAGTTTATTTGCTAATAAACTCTGCTATTGTCCCCACGATCTTGAGAGGTCTGTACGATCCGAAGCGGAAGTATGTTGGTCACCAAGAAAGGAACATCTTGAGTCTAAAACCAAACTCAGATCTCCGAATTCTAACTTGTGTGCATAGACCTGATAACATCCCTGGAGCCATTGCATTCCTCCAATTATTGTCCTCGCCGAACCGTGAACTCCCCATCATTGTCACGGTCCTCCACCTCGTGAAGCTGGTGGGTCAACTCTTCCCGGTCTTGATCCCACACAACACGAAGTCGAAACGGCTCATGACTAATAACTCATACATCAGTACTGTTTTACTAACCTTCAACAAGTTCAAACATGAGAGCCTTGATTCCGCGAGTTTGGCCATGTTTACTGCCTTCTCGCATGAGAACCTAATGCACGAAGACATATGCACGCTCGCGCTAGACCAGACGACGTCAATGATTGTCGTCCCGTCCGGGAGGACATGGACCATAGATGGGGAGTTCGACATGGACGACGAGTCCATAAGGCGACTCAACATGTCGCTGCTTGAGTGTGCGCCTTGTTCCATAGGGATACTTGTGGACCGTGGGAAATTCTTGCGTAGAGAAAATAGAAGGTCCAACATCAATGTTGGTGTGATCTTCATTGGAGGCAAAGATGATCGAGAAGCGTTATCGCTAGTCAAGAGGATGAAGCACAACCCTAAGGTCCGTGTCACTGTGATTCGACTCATCTCAACCAAAGAAACCGAGTATACAAATTCGGTATACGGGCTTGATCACAAGGTTATGAAAGAAATGGAGGATTCAGAGGCCACTAACAATATTACATATACAGAGACGAGTGTGACGGGTGGTCCTGAATTGGCTACTACGGTTAGACTGCTCGCTGAAGAGTATGACCTTATGGTGGTTGGGAGAGATCATGGCAAGGCATCACCAGACTTCTCAGGACTAAAAGAGTGGATGGAACTTCCTGAATTAGGTGTCATTGGAGATTTGCTAGCAGTAAGAGATCTCAAATCTAGGCTCTCTGTTTTGGTAGTTCAACACCAACATCATGCGTTAAACATTCATCGAAGTTAACTTTCAACAACACGACTGTGTGTTATCTTAGGACAAGATTATAGAAGATTGAACATGAATACTATTTTCCATGTACTGAATCTTTTCCCTCGCGGTATGTTTGACCGATGCACATTCAGATGTTGCGACTGTGTATGTATCACACAGATTTTAGAAACCTATTATTGGATTATTCTTCAGTAAGCTTCTTGACTTCTTCCTTTTACACATCAACCAAAATCTGAACATTTACATGCTGCTAAACGATTTTTTTTTCTATATATGTAAAAATTAAAGAAGATAAAAAATCAGCCATAGTACAAGATCATACAAACTTACGAGACTGTAAGAAAAATTTAGAGCAGAATTTACATAAAAAGTAGCACATATCAAGGTGATCTTTTGAAATTAAGTCTTTATTCAAAAGATCATAAGTATTTTTGTACAATGTTTTTCTATTTCAGAATTCAACTGTATGGAACGAGCCTTAATGAAACTTTTTTTTTACTTGAAATTTCTCTTGTATGGAAAATTAATAAGGTACCTGTCTGTTGAACATATATTTTTTTACATAGTTTATCTAGATTTTAAATTTTTTCTTAAATCACTTTGGTATCCAAAGCTTTTTTTTTTTTTGTAGTAAAAACTCTGATCTTAAATTCAAATCGACCATGTTACTATATATCAAAGAATTCAAAAAAATTTCATGTATTGTACAATCTTTTATTTAATTTAGGCTTCATCCTTTTGGTGTTTTAAAATTAGGAAGATGGGTTTTTGTTTTGGTTTTTGAAATGATCTGAATTATCCATAACTTTGTATGATATGATTAAATTTTTGAAGAGAGTTTCTAAAATGATATTTTGATATATATCTGTGAGGATAAATTAATGCAGTTTTGAAGAAAATATTATCTTTTAAAACTAAAGCTTCTCCTTTACATGTTTAGAATTATTAGCATCAAATAATGTTTCTCGTATTTCTAGATGAGAGCATTATGGGACAAGCTCATTCTTGATTAATTAAGATCGACATCTGTATCAAACAGAGCGATCATACCAATTTTGTAGTTTGTAGAAAAAAAGTGTGACTTGCCCTTATTTGATAGCGCAAAGGAAATCAAAGGGTCAGAATCTAGAGATAGTATTTGTTCCTTTGGGTTGAGATCATTTCTATGTTATTAAGGTCATCATTGTCTTGTTCCTCAGAACTAGAGTCATGATTTCCTTTAAAAGAAGATAGAATTCAGTGAAGATTTTGAGATATTTTTTACTAATTTGATTTCCATCCTGTTGTTTTAGAACTATATTTCTTTCTTTTATTAAAAATAGTGGTTAGATCATAAGATGATTTGAAAGATGTTGGACCATGAGATTTTGATGGGTTTTCAGACGATTTTATCTCCTTCTCGTTTATGAAACAAAGAATTGTTTCTAAGAATTTTTTCTTTATTTTAGGATTTGAAATGAAATTCAAGATTTGAAATGAAATTCAGGATTTTAAGCTGGAATTTTGATGTTTTGTAATAGTTTATTTTTTCATTAGATTTTGAGCCGAATAATTCTTAGTTCATCAACTTGTAGGACTTTTTCCAAGGAAAATGATAATAATATATGATGATGAATGATCTAGCAATGCATTTGATATTTTACCTGAAAGTATTTTTCCAAAACTGAGTTCGTGGACTTTTCTTTTAAAATAGCAGAATTTTGATGAGCACAAGCATATAAAGCATGTGTTTCAGGTTCGACAACTTTATAAAATATTTTGGGGCCAATTTTGCGAAAGAAATAAGTTAGTTCAGTGGTTTTATTGGCTTGTGTTGTGTGAGTAGATGTGGGTTTATTTCCCTTTAGATGCATAAATTGTATATTCTTTCATCTTCTTTTCAAAAATCAGTTTTTAAGTTGTCCCACATCGAAAAATTAAAAAAAAATAAAAGGAAAAAATGCCTATAAATATGAGTTTTCATTTTTAAAGAATAATTAATTACCCAAATAAGTTTTAAACTAGTATTTTTTTTGAAGGGGCCAATTTTTATATAAAAAAATATATTTTTTATATAAAATACAAAAGGACCAATTTTTTTTCCTCACCTGTAGCCGGAGAAATCTTAGGCTTTGAAGCACTTAAGTTTTTATAGAATGGTTTGTTGGCTGTAGTTTTTTTAAAAAAAAAAAAATTTCTTACAAGGCTTTTCCTATGATTTTTCGCAAGGTTTATGATTTTTATAGATTTTTAGAATCATCAGTACCCTGATATGATCCTATATTACACAAGAATCTTGATCAAAATAGACTCACAAATCTGTCTTTTCTGAGCTGGCTGATAATGAGCAGGTTGAGTTGAAATTCAGGAATGTACAAAATATTGCTGAGAACAATACGTTCATAAATTTTCCAAATACTCACACTTTCACCAGTAGGGAGACTAACCGATGGTCTCAAATCAGTAGACAAACTTGTAAAAAAAGATTTGTCGTAAGAAACATGATGAGTTGCTGCACTATCTGTAATCCAGCATTGAGAAGATAGAGTATTTCTTCATATTCTCAAAATTCCTACAAAATGAAGAGTGGAAGATGAGAAAGAAATACCTGGAATAAATGATGAGGAAGCCACATTCGTCAGACCATCAGGAATAGATGTCTGAGTGTGCAACTGTGAGCAAAAATAAGCTATAACTGCCTGTATCTGTTCATTTGATAAGCTACCAATTACACTCAGTTTTGCAGAGTCAGGCGACTGAGGAGAATAACTCAAATCAAGCTGAGCTACAACAGGTTTTGGAGCAGAATGGTTGAACTTCATTTAATCCATCGGTTTCTCCACTGTGTATTTCTGTTTTCCCTAAAATCCAGTAGGAAATCCATGAATTTTGAAACATCTGTCCATTGTATGACCAGAATAGCCACAAGGAAAGCAGAGAGGTCGATTCTGTTTAGAGATGTTATAATAGACTTGTGCTGCATTCAATGGGATTTGATCTGTAGCAAAGATATTGAAAGCACTTGCGTTCTGTATCAGAAGGATTTTTCTATGGCTATGATCTTGATCCAGAATATCATAAATCTCCGCTAAGTCAAGGGACATGCTTCTTCATGATTATTTGGCTTCTAATGATGGCATAAGATTCATTCAAGCCGCCCGAAAGTTTGACTACACCAGCATGATCTGCCTTCTTATCTATTTCTCGATAGCAATTACAAGTTCGACAAAGTTTCACACAATCAGCTCCATCCAATTTATTCAGAGTGGTATAGCACATAGCAAGATCCATGGATCCTTTCTTTAAAAAGATCATATATGTTGAGAGACTATAATTAGTATGATCTTGGTAGGTATGTGATATGAAATCGGGTTAATAAATATTTTCATATCTCAGAGGCATTCTTGGTTGAGTACGCCCCGAAATTTTTCTGAGTTATACATGGATTTTTGGCCTCCAAATTGTAAAAAAAAAAATTAATAATATTTCTCTTAAATTGTTTGTAACCCCTAAATTTTCACTATTAGTATCAGTTTTGAAATGTATGTATACACCACATAGAGCATACTTGGTTGAGATAGTGCCAATAATAGTGTACTCATCATTCGTTCTTCAAACTTGCAAAACTATTCACACACAACAATCAATTCATACTTCACGTCTTTTCCCGGTATACAGTCAAAGTGGTTTAGTCTATCTCTACCAACCCCCCCGTAAAGTTCCATACCATCCTCTCTTTTAGTGATCGTAGAGCTAAAATGGGTCAGGTGGTCCGGACTAGTAGTACTTGACTCATGCAAAAAATAGCTCGTTACCAAAATATCAGGTAAAATTCTCGGTTAGTGACAGAACAAATTAAGAAGTCTTTTGCAAGACAACTTGTGTTTGTATAGTCGTCAATACTTTTGTTGCGAGACTGGTCCACTTACTCAGCCAAGAAATGTTTTTATAATTTTATTCTAAAAAATAAAATATTTTTTTAACACTGACATTTAATAAATAAATAAAAAATTCAAAGTGGGAAATTTGGGATTTACGACACGATTTACATACGCAACACACTTGTTGGAGTTTGGACTCTTATCCATCAACTTGAGACTTTCCTTTTTGTAGTCTGTTCAAATCATTTAAATACTTAAATACTTTTGTACTTTTAAAATCGGCATTGGGTATGTTACTTAATTAACTTAAAAGTTTGTACTTTGTATATCAGATTAAACTCATTCAGTTAATTACAAAGGAATTACATTCGTTTCCTATTTGAATCTGATCATCCCAAATTAACGTCTAACAGAAAAATTCAGTGAATGTGATTATGTGAATCCAACATCAATATCATTTGAACAAACATATTTTATGAAATGTTTGCTACTACACATACAGTGCATGTATTTAAAATATATTTTCGTCACATCATAATGAAAGTAATTAAAATATCAAATTTCATTAAATAAAAGAATAATAATGTTTGTCACACAAGTTGGACCGAGTCAAGATACAGAGTTACGTTACTGGAATTTGAGTCCAACTTGACGCGTTTCTCGCCACTCACTTTCCTCGAAACTCTTTACACACACACACAGCTACATATATATATATATATATACAGACTCTTGCTCAAATCAAAGTTCAAAGACGAACACTCAGAAGCTAATTTTGTCAACGTTTTGGATCGGATTCGAGAATTTAATGACGATCATCAAACCACGCGGCGCCGTCGTGATTCGTGAGGTTTGGGCGGAGAATCTCGAATCGGAGATTGAGCTAATAAGCGGAATCGTCGACGATTATCCTTTCGTCTCGATGGATACGGAGTTTCCCGGCGTAATTTTCAAATCGGATCTCCGCCGTGGAAACCCCGACGATCTCTACCGTCTCCTCAAATCAAACGTCGACGCGCTAAGCCTCATCCAGGTCGGTCTTACTCTCTCCGATGCCGACGGAAACCTCCCCGATCTCGACGGTTGCGGCGGTGGCGGAAATAGATTCATCTGGGAGTTCAATTTTAAAGATTTCGACGTGGCGCGTGACGCACACGCCCCGGACTCGATCGAGCTTTTACGCCGACAGGGGATCGATTTTGAGCGGAACCGCCGCGACGGGGTGGAGTCGGAGAGGTTCGCGGAGCTTATGATGTCGTCGGGGCTCGTCTGCAACGAGGGAGTGAGCTGGGTGAGTTTCCACAGCGCGTACGATTTCGGTTACCTGATGAAGATTCTCACGCGCCGGGAGCTTCCCTGCGCGTTGGGTGGGTTTCAGCGCGTGATGAGAGCGTTGTTTGGGGAGCGCGTGTACGACGTGAAGCATGTGATGAGGTTTTGCGAGAGGAGATTATACGGCGGGTTGGACCGGGTCGCACGGACGCTTGAGGTTAACCGGGCGGTTGGGAAATGTCATCAAGCCGGTTCGGATAGTTTGCTTACGTGGCACGCGTTTCAGAGGATGAGAGATTTGTATTTCCTTCAGGATGGACCGGAGAAACACGCGGGTGTTTTGTACGGCCTTGAAGTTTTTTAAAGGGAATTTTTTTATTATTTGTAATTCAAATTTAATTAATTAGCTCTATAATGTTTGTAGTTAATGTGAATTGGAAAGAAATTTATATAAATATAAATAAATCAACGTTCAAAATTGAAATTTCGTTTTGTTATAGCCTTGTAGGGATTATGTCCCTTAGATTTCGTCTACGCTATACAATGGTTGTTTGGCAAATCAAATTCTCAAAATGCCAGTTGAACAAGTAAAATATGCTCATACGTTCATATATTGATCATATGCTCATATACCAGTCAGCGTTATAAAAATTAATTTAGTTTTGGATTATTTTTAAATTGAAAAAATGAGAAAATGTTTATTTAATTTTAAAATATCATAATATTTACTAATCCAATCAGTGATGGAACCAATATCCACACCCAAATAGTTTTACTAGATCTGATTTCGAGTCAAAATTTGAATAACCCTAAATTCAAAACTATGTCAATTCTTCAATTTCATTCCATTAGGTACAACTACAAACAAAAAATGTTTAAATTTTCTATACTGTTTATAATTTTCAAATTCTCAGTTTCGGGATTCTTAGGTTCATTCTTCTTCGTATTAGCCCCTTTACTGTTTATATTGTTTTTTTATCTTATTTCTGGGTTTAGGAATCATTCTTGTGTATCTGATACCTGAATTTAGGAATTGGACAAGGAACTGAAATTAGTATTATGTCCTAAATTTTGAGTTTGATTGACTTTGATTAATGTGTCGGGTGATAATTAGTTGTGTCTTGACTTCGTAGAAATACTGTAATGGCATTATTCGGAGGAGAAAATGAGTAGCTTCAATTAACGGTGTGGGAGCCAATATGCTTTCGTAATGAAGATAAGGAGCAAATGCGTTATAATGAGGAAGACTAGCCAGTAGGACCGCTGAAGATGTATTTTAATCCAAATCAGCAGAACAAGGCAATAAAGTTGGGAACTCGGTGTTGGATCCACAAAGCAGTGGAAAAACTGAAGTCGGTGTCTCTGGGACTGAGACCTGATGAGCTAAGGTGGTTTACCGAGCATCCTCAATTCAAGCACTTCTGGTATATGCACAAGGCAATATATATGGATCCAACCCATAAGACTCGGGGGATGTAGATGCTCCTTCTCCGCACAGCAAAGACAAACAAGAGGAGAGAGTGTTGATTTGTTGTCAATAGAAATTCCAATTCGGTATTCGCTAAAGGAACATGGACTCATATCTGGATTAGACTGCCACACGTATCCAGAGAAATATGAGATGATGGGCAGTAGTGATTTTAAGTCTAAGTATTTTAAAAAAGGAACTGTCCATTCACTTGCTGTTGTGGAAGAAAAGCTAGATAAGATACGTGGTGGTCTAGATAAATTGAAAATGTATGTTGTGTACTTTTTAGCAAGCGTGATGGTGGTCCCTTTTTTCTTGAGGATTGTGGATGATCTTGATGCGTGTAGAACATTTCCTTGGGGGAGGTATTCATTTGATGTTAATCTCAAGGAAATTGAATGAGGCACTTCAATGGGATCGTCGAAACAGATTTTTGGACATTTCCTAGCTTTCACTACAAGAAAACAATCGTTTTCCAACAGTCCATTACGACGGTTTTCAAATCGTCGCAAGAGTACAACGATTTTACGACGATCTAACGTCTAATTTTAAAACCGTCGTAAAACCGTCGTATATAAAAATCGTCGTAAACTCGACGTACAATTTACGACGAATTACGACGATTATACATCGATAACGAGAGATTTGCTAGTAAATGTAAAATCGTCGTAAATTCGTCGCAAAATTACGACGAATATACGATGACTACATTTCGATGTACATGTTATGACGATTGTACGTCGAAAAAGGAGTTAGGTGAAAAACATTTAAAACATGTTTACCTAACAATTGTAGATGAAAATTTTTATCGCAAAATCGTCGTAAACTCGTCGTAATATTATTGTTGAATGTAAAACCGTCGTAAAAAGTCATCGTAAAAGCGTTGTAAAACCCGAAATTTTCCTATAAATAGATCTTCATTCCTTCATTCAATCACAACACATCATCATTCAAACATAAGAGCATCTTCATCTTGGAGACCCATTGTAGGTCTCTTAAATTTTAGTATAGTGTTGTAAATCCTTATATATTGGGTTGTCTATTGCTGAAAACCCGAATTAAGAGTTATATTACTTTGAATCAAAGAAGTAATAATATTATAAGGTTAATTTACTTCATTCACGTGGCTAGACGTGACACAAGAGACCACCTCCTTTATTGTCTAATCAATAAAAAGAGATAGTATTTTGAGTTTATTTTCAAGATGTCTATATACGAGCTAAGAAGTTGGATGTATATGCGTAAAGATTCAGATGGGGCGTTGACAAAAGAGTTCAAGAACGGGTTAGAAATATTTATGTATCAGACTACAAATATGGAGAGAACGAAAGATAGTGGGAAGATGTTTTGTCCTTGTTTGAAATGCAAGAATACGAGGTATACACTAACCAAAACCGTGTGGACGCATTTATTAATGAGGGTTTATGCCGTAATATTTTGTTTGGTATCTACATGGAGAAGGATATGACAGTAATACTCATGGGAATGCTGGTAGTAGTAGTAATTATCAAAGTCATGTTGATATTGATGAATCGAATTATGGTCATCAGCCTAATCAGTATCAATATGACCAAAGTGTAGATCATGATAGGATGCACGAAATGGTGACTGATGCATTTCATGAAACGCATACGGGTAATGCTGTTGAGGAACCTAATGTAGATGCCAAACGATTTTATGATTTGTTAGACAATGCTAATCAGCCAATCTACGAAGGATGTAGAGAAGGCTTGTCTAAATTATCGTTGGCAGCTAGGATGATGTAAATTAAAACAGATCATAACCTGGCTGAGGTTTGCATGGATGATTGGGCTTATCTTCTGAAGGAGTATCTACCAGAGGATAACTTGGCAGCGGGAACATACTACGAAATTCAGAAGTTGATTTTTAGTCTTGGTCTACCTTCTGAGATGATAGATGTATGTGTTGACAATTGTATGATTTTTTGGAAAGACGATGATCAGCTGGAGGAATGTCGATTTTGCCATAAACCAAGATACATGCCTCAAACTGGTGGGCGTAAAAGGATACCGTACCAACGTATGTGGTATCTCCCTATAACTGATAGGTTAAAACGGCTTTATCAATCTGAAAGGACAGCTGCATCAATGAGATGGCATGCGGAACATACACAAGTAGATGTAAAAGTTGTTCATCCATCAGATGCAAAGGCATGGAAACACTTCAATATGGTATACCCAGATTTTGCTAAGTTCAAACGGAATGTCTATCTTGGTCTGTGCACTGATGGTTTTAGTCCATTTGGTATGTCTGGTAGACAATATTCATTATGGCCAGTAGTCCTAACTCCTTATAACCTTCCTCCAGATTTGTGCATGCAAAGGGAATTTCTTTTCCTAAGTATTTTGGTTCCAGGTCCAAATCATCCGAAGCGAGCTCTCGATGTATTTCTTCAGCCACTCATACATGAGTTGAATCAGTTATGGTATACTGGCGTTCGTACATATGACTGTTCTACGAGGAAAATTTTTACTATGCGGGCTGTGCTTATGTGGACAATAAGCGATTTCCCCGCTTACGGTATGCTATCAGGATGGACTACACATGGGAGGCTATCTTGTCCTTATTGTCTTCATCGAACTGATGCGTTTCAGCTAAAACATGGTAGAAAAACTTGTTGGTTTGATTGTCACCGGAGGTTTTTACCGGATAACCATCCATATCGGAGGAACAAGAGGTTATTTTTGAAGAACAAAAGTGTACGTGTCCCTCCACCCGTTAATTTAACAGGAGCTGATATACAGGCGCAAATAGATCATTGGAGGGCAGAAGAAACAATAACTCGTGGGGGAAACTGGCACACTCCTGCAAATATGTCTGAAGGTTATGAAGTTCATCATAATTGACACAAGAAAAGTATCTTCTGGCAACTACCTTATTGGAAAGATCATCTGCTCAGACACAATCTTGATGTCATGCACATTGAAAAAAACTTTTTTGATAACATCATGCATACAGTTATGAACGTAGCGGGAAGAACAAAAGACAATGGTAAATCAAGATTGGACTTGCCTGATTTATGCAACAGAAGTGAGTTGCATCTACTGAGAAACGGGAAAGCACCAGTTCCTGTATTTCGGTTGAGTGCAGATCAAAAGTCAGCATTGTTCAGATGGGTTTCTTCTGACGTTAATTTTCTTGATGGGTATGTCTCTAATCTTTCCAAATCTGTTGAGAAGGGGGTAAAGTTTGCTGGGATGAAAAGCCATGACTGCCATGTCTTTACGCAACGATTATTTCCATTTGCATTTGCTGAACTCTTGCCCAAAAACGTCCATGAAGCTATTGGAGGCATTGGTGCTTTTTTCGGGATCTTAGTACACGAACATTATCAGTTGATGTAATATCACAACTAGCATTGAATATTCCAATCTTGTTGTGCAATTTGGAAAAGATCTTCCCACCATCATTTTTTGATGTTATGGAACATCTTCCTGTTCATCTCCCATACGAAGCAGAGCTCGGTGGACCCGTTCAGTACAGGTGGATGTATCCGTTCGAGCGTTTCATGAAGCATCTTAAAGGTAAAGCCAAAAACCTAGCTAAAGTGGAAGGCTCAATTGTGGCGGGAAGCTTAACGCAAGAGACTTCATACTATTTTGCACCGAAAGTACGAACACGCAAAAGAGCTACTCGTCGATATGATGATGGAGGAGTTGGCCATACATATGTCGTTAAAGGTGTACCTGACATATTCTCGCCGATCAGACGTCTTAGTGGAAAACTAAAAGATGTTTGGTGGTCCAATGAAAAAGATTATCACAGTGCACATACGTATATCCTGTTAAATTGTGAAGAGTTGTCATCGTATGAAAGGTACCTTTTTAATTAATAATATCTTTATATGAGTTGTCAGTATTAATAACTATTTGTTGTTTTTCTCAGCACATTTGTTGATGAGGTTAAAGAATGCATATCTGAGGTTTCTGAAACTGAAATCAATGATCGTAAAGATCAACACTATGCCCAGTGGTTAAAAGGGCAAATACGTATAA